TTTCAAGGCAGTAAGTGCTACTGCAGAGCACCAATGGTAAATGTTTTACAAATCTGAGTCGAGAACCATCATGGAACAGTCAGTGCAGAGGCATGGAATAAGCAGGTCTTGGGCTGACACTGGAAAGGATCCTTGTTTTTTTCCTTTTTCTTTTTTTAGAGTCAGGGTCTTAGTCTTTTACCCAGACTGGAGTACAGTGGTGCCATCATAGCTCACTGCAGCTTCAAACTCCTGGTCTCAAGCGATCCTCCTGCCTTAGCATCCCAATTAGCAGGGACCACAAGTGAGAGGATCCTTGAATGATGTCGAGGAGAAGGAACAGCGGCGTGGATGTGTGGGCACAGGTGCAGGAGCACAGGAAAAGCAGAGGATTACAAAGGGTGGAGGCTGATGTAAAGAAACCCAGTCGGTGACACAGCATGGAGACTCTTGAATACCAGGGTGGAAACTGCATTAGGAACAGTATTGCTCATAATTGCAGAAAATTTTACATGGCCTAGATACTCATCAAAGGATGATGTATAAATAACTATGGCATATTTATACAATGTGCCGACAGGATGCACTGAACATTTTGAACAACAGAGAGACTTGATAATGGCAAGGTTTTGCGGAGGTTAATCAGGATGCAAGGAAAAAAAAGCAAACAACGAATAAAGTTGATTGATGACAAACACTATCAAAAGGCACGCAGGAGAAAACCTACTGGTTACCTCCAGGGAGCTGGTGAGGGAGGCAGTGTGGGAGGATCTACCCCTGTGCATTCTGAGTGCACCTCCAGTGCAGCCGTCAGAAAGCAGGGGCTTCCAGGCTAGAACCGGATCCCGACATCCCTGTTAATTCCACCGATTCCACACCGAGTCCAATTTATGACTCACTCAATTTGCAATTTGGTTTTAAAAAGCAAATTTCGGGGATGCTAGCCTAGCACAGCTTATCTTAGACATTGTCCACTATGGCATAAAGAATGCTGCCTATTCCTTCGGTACCCTAATCAGGAAACCCCATTGGATCTGCTCCTTCCTGCGGGGAAGCGAGTGCCATGAAGGCTTACTGTCTCACACAGAGAGCTGGTCATTGGTCCAGCAGAACTTTCAAATGGAAAGTGAGGAGAGCCATGTGATTAACCACTGCCAGACTGTTCGGGTTACAAACAGTAGTTTCTTAGGCATTGCCTGGGACATGTGATAATTTCTGTTACACAATTCGTGGTAGTTAAAATGGTGCATGATGAAAGCTATCTGATTTGGATTCATTATTAGGTGAACCATCTAGTCTGCAATTTGATTCTACCATTTTCATTTAACAAATGTAAAAAGGGTTATTAATGTCTTATAAAGTTATGCTGGGCAAATATGCAAAAGTCCAGATCACCTACCGCAGGCACTAATCCGGCTTCCTCTCTGGGCACCCTGTTGTTTTGGGCTGGGCAGTTTCCTGTGTAACCATCTAGGGCTACCTAGGTCATTCTGAACACCTGGGCACTTTTCCTTGTTCCTAAATGGGACAATCACAAAGGGCCCTTCTGTTCCAAACACTCTTTAAAGTAGCTGTTCTCAAAACATGGTCCAGCAACCCCTGATTATCCCTGAGACCTTTGAGGGGATCCTCAAGGTTAAAACCAATATCATAAAAAATGTTCGTGTCCTTTGTAGGGACATGGATGAACCTGGAAACCATCATTCTCAGCAAACTGACACAAGAACAGAAAATCAAACACCACATGTTCTCACTCATAGGCAGGTGTTGAACAATGAGAACACATGGACACAGGGAGGGGAGCATGACACACTGAGGTCTGTAGGGGGGAACTACAGGAGGGACAGCGGGGGATAGTGAGGTTGGGGAGGGATAACATTGGGAGAAATGCCAGATATAGGTGACCGGGGGATGGAGGCAGCAAACCACATTGCCATGTATGTACCTATGCAACAATCCTGCATGATCTGCACATGTACCCCAAAACCTGAAGTACAATTATATATAGATATATATGTGTGTGTGTGTGTGTGTGTGTGTGTGTGTATAACCAATGTCATAATAATACTAAGATGTTATCTGCCTTTTTTCACTCTCACTTTCTCACACACGAACAGTGGCATTTTCCAGGGGACAGTGTGATAATGACCCTAACTGCATGCAGAAGCAAACAGGAAAATCTAGTTTTTTCGGTTAAACCAGACATCAAAGAGATTTGCAAAAATGTAAAACAATGCTATCCTCCTCACCGTATTTTTTTTGTTTTAGAAAATAGTTGTTTTTCCTACAAATGTTTTTGAGGTTATCAGTAATAAGTTTATTAATATAATTTAAAAATGAAATATACATACATTTTTTTGAAGTCCTCAGTTGTAATTTCTAATACAGTAAGTATCGATAGGTGTGCCCCACATGAATAAAGGCTGTTGGGAACCTCAGTACTTTTTAAGAGTTGCCAAGGGGTCCTGAGACCAAAAATATGAGAGCCACTGCCCTCAAAGGACAGCCCCAGCCCGAGTCGGGAACAGCTGAGACAGAACCTACCTGCTCCTAGTGGATTGCAGTATGGTAGGATTTAACCTTCAAGGTTTCAACTCTTGGCAAGAGTCCAGGAGGGGCCATGGTTTGCCCTGAGCATTGCTCTCTGTAATAGGAGCAAGTCCCTTAGGCTGGTGGGCCAAGCTAGCCTGAAGCTGACCATGGACATCTTAGTGGGTTGCTTGTTCTAGTGTGGGTTTGCATTTTATGGGAAACATAATCTGCTATATGGCTCTTTTCATTTAGGGAAATCACAAGTTCTCAGAATGTTTGTCTCTCTTGGTTGGGGCCTCTATAATTAAATTATAAAACTGAGACAATGGTTAAGTAATACGAGATTTGATGGAAACCACAGAGGATTGAGGGTTTCATTTGAGTGAGGTGAAGGGGGAATGAGAGGAGTAGTTCTGGAGAAAAGAAAAAGATTGGATGAGGCTGGGCACAGTGGCTCACGCCTGTAATCCCAGTACTTTGGGAGGACAAGATGGGCAGATCACTTGAGGCCAGGAGTTCGAGACCAGCCTGGCTAACATGGTGAAACCCTGTCTCTACTAAAAATATAGGTTGGGCCACAGAGTGATACTCTATTGATGGAGCCTTGTTCTGTCTTGCAGGCTGGAGTGCAGTGCTGAGATCTTGGCTCACTGCAATCTCTGCTTCTCAGGTTCAAGTGATTCTCCTGCCTCAGCCTCCTGAGAGCTGGGATTACAGGACCATGCCACCACGCCTGGCTAATTTTTGTATTTGTAGTAGAGATGGGGTTTCACCATATTGGTCAGGCTGGTCTCGAATTTCTGACCTTGTGATCCACCTGCCTCAGCCTCCCAAAGTGCTGAGATTATAGGCGTGAGCCACCACACCTGGCCAAGGCTCTGTCTTTAAAAAAAAGAGAGAGAGAGAAAGGTTGGTTGAAACAACAGAGTGGGGAGGACGTGTGAGCTTGGTAGCTTGGTGGAGGTAGGGCTTTGTTAGGGCCTTAGAGGGGTCCAATAAAGGTTCCCAATCACAGTAGTGACCTAGAGAAAGTAGCATTTTAACATATTTCATTTCGTAATAGACAGTCACAGTTTACAAGACCCTTTCCATACATTCCTACTATAGTCCAGAGGCAAGTTGTGCGCTCTCTCCTCTCACAGATAAAAAAACCTCGGCCTCCAGAGGCTGGCAACTCGCTCAGGGTAATATAAAACTCAGGGATGAGAGAGTCGAGACTCCCAGCCCAATGCGTATCCCTCACGGGCACCCTCTCAGGGTGCAGCAAAAACTTTGTATAAGAAATCAAGTTGCAGAAGTCAGTGGGATTCCCCAAATGATCACGTCGTAGATGGTGTATGCAGTGGGGCACAGCAAGGGCTGATGCTTCTTGGGCAAAACAATCAGGCTCCCCCCCCCCACCAAAAAAAATGCCAATGATGTGACTTTAACCATAATTGCAGAATAGAGGACTCACCTCCCACTACTGTTACTGTCCAATATTCTCTCAGATAATGTTTGGGGCACGAGCTTACAGGCAACATCACCCAGCGGTCAAGGTTGTAGCTTTGCAGGCAGACTGACCGTATTAAAATTCGTGCGAAGCCTGTGCACTTGGGCACGCTTCTTTACTTCTCTGCTTTCATTTCCTCCTCTGTAAAACACGGATGATACTATAAATACGCCCAAGTCCTAGAGTTGCCATACGAATTAGAAAAGACAGGCAAATACAACCCTCAGAAGAGAGCATGGCATCCAGTCGGCACCACTGAGTGTTTGCTCTTAGTGTGCGGTGACTCCAGGCGCTTCTGTCTCGGGTTGTGGCTGACCAGGTGGCCCTGTCTCCTGGTAACTTACCAATCCTGTTGAGTCTTCATGAGCACGTCTTCGATGCCTACGGTGAGACCGACTTTCCAGGCCTCATCACTGGACACACAACCATCCCATTTGCTTTTTTCCATTTGTTTTTAATAAAGTAGTACACGTGTATGGCACCAGATCAAACAGTACAGAGCAGGTTACAGTGGGAGAGAATGGCCTCCCAGCTCTCTTGAAATCCCCAACTCAGAGACAACCATTTTTGTCTTTTTCTAACAGTTTCTTTCTACAGCCTTTTGTGGTTATCTTTCTAACTCTAAATAGTCTTACCTCCGTGTATTCACTTAGAAACTTTAGATGTTACCTTTCAACTCCTCAGTATGAAACTTCAGTTTATAGTACACCAGGCTATCACCCTCTTTCCAGGACTTACTACTTATACTGGTGGTAGGTGGAATTTAAAAATTCATCAGCACTCTTTTGTGTTTCTCTGCATGTTCCAGTTTTATAGCAACTCCCACTTGTTGTATGAGTGCAAGAGAACTGGGGGGCTCATAACTCAGCCTGCAGGACTTTCACTTAAAGCCTGGCCCTCAGGGTGATGTCACCCACCTCACTGTGCCGGGCTCAGGAGTTGAGTCCCTCAGTTGCCTGGTCATATAGTTTGGATGTTTGTCCCCTCCAAATCTCGTGTTGAAATGTGATCTCCAATGTTGGAGGTGGGGCCTGCTGGGAGGTGTTTGGGTCATTGGGGTGGGTCCCTCTTGAATCGCTTGGTGCCATCCCCATGGTAACAAGTGAGTTCTCGCTCTGGCAGTTCACACAAGAGCTGGTGTTTAAAGGAGCCTGGCACCTCCCACTCTTTCTCTTGCTCCTCCTCTTCCCCTCCTTTGTGACTAAAAGCTTCCTGAGGCCTCACCAGAAGCTGTGCAGATGCTGGTGCCATGCATGGATCTCCTGTAGAACTGTGAGCCAAATAAACTCTTTCCTATAAATTACCCAGTTTCAGCTATTCCTTTATAGCAATGTAAAACAGACTCACATCTGGCAAGCCCCAATTGTCTGCTTCTAGGTAAGACAGGAAGAGTGGGGAGCTGCTGAGGGTTTCCACTGCGTTATCTCTTTTCGGGCAAGCTGTCTCCACTGAGTAGGCTTCACATTCAGAGCTCTGAGTAAGGTGGGCAGGAAAAGGGTTGCAGGCTGACCAAAGAAGAAGACTGAATCCTTCAGTGCCAACCTGTGAACCAGAGTCTTAGCTCTCTTTGAATATTCTGTTCAGTATCTTTGGGTTTTGTTTTATTTTGTCTAAGGGTAAATGCTGACTGCCTGTTCTCTGGACAGGAATGGGGAAGACAGTGCTAGCGGCGTTGCTGTTCATACGCAGACATTCATGCAATCACTCTTTTCAGCACGCTTCTTACTTGTACCCCGGGTTCAGTTGCTGACTCTGATCCCAGAAACCTTCTAGGGTTCTGTTAGGTAGATTGGCTTCCACCGTTTTTGCAACAACCACAGAAAATTCTAGACTGTTTTCTCTTTGGGGTTCATTAGTCAACTTGCTTCTGTCTGTCCTGCGTCTTCTAAATATTTATAGATCTCTCTCTTTTGTTGGAGTGGCAGAAAATACTAGTTGACCACCCAATATTCAAATTATCTTGCCTCCTTAGTAACAGAACAGACTACCACTGGATGTGGTGGGTAAATAATGTACTCCAACTTTCCTTGCAGAGAGGGGTGGCCAATGAGATGGAAATGAAAGTCATTGGGAAAGCGTGCCAACATATTTCTTTAAGCAAGACAGACTGAAGCAAGTTGACTAATGAAGCCCAAAGCTTGCAGTTGTTTTTGTTTATCTTTGCCTCTTTCTTCTTCCTGTGGGGACAAAGGGCAGCGATGTCTGGAGCTGCAGCAGCCATTTTGGCCCAACGTCGGAAAAGTCAAGAGACTCAGAGACCTCAGCTCCAGCATTTTTGTATTTTTCCAAATATTTGCTCCCCTGCAGGAGGATGAGATATTCCTGCTTGTTGCCTTGTGACTGTGGGAGGACTGTACTTCCCTGCCTTGTTGTCTAGTTTCACCATGTGCCCTGCTTTGGCCCCTAAAATGTGAGTGGGAGAAGCTTGGTGAACCATTGCATGTCTCCACCAGCTTTTTCACTCTGTGCCCTTTGGCATTAGAAAGACAAGTCCAGCACTTTGGGAGGCCGAGGCGGGTGGATCACGAGGTCAAGAGATCAAGACCATCCTGGTCAACATGGTGAAACCCCGTCTCTACTAAAAATACAAAAAATTAGCTGGGCATGGTGGCACATGCCTGTAATCCCAGCTACTCAGGAGGCTGAGGCAGGAGAATTGCCTGAACCCAGGAGGCGGAGGTTGCGGTGAGCCGAGATCACGCCATTGTACTCCAGCCTGGGTAACAAGAGTGAAACTCCGTCTCAAAAAAAAAAAAAAAAAAAAAAAAAAAAAAGACAAGTCCAGGATGGAGCTGTTCCTTCAGCCTAGACTGGATTATGAAAAGCCAGCTGGGGGAGTCCAGTAACATATAAAGTGAGTTAGAAATAAAACCTTGTCATTGTAAGCTACAGATATTTTGAGTTTGGTTACCACAGTATTATCTAGTGGAAGTTGATTTATACAGTATGTAATAGGATAAATACATGCGTGTAACAGAATATTAAGTGTTCCTATTTCAAAGCCAAGGGGAAAAGGTTAAAAGTGCTCACACATTCTGAAAAGAGATTAGCTAAAACTGCTTCATTAACCACACTTTGGGGAAACCAGTTCTGAGAGTCTTCTCCATTACTCTGACAGGTTGGACCCTCTGGGGAGCAGACCTCAAGATGAAATTATGAGCGCAAGAGGTGTGCTGGGAAGGGCTAGTTGCAGAAGAATCCTGCAGTAGCACCAGGCACATGTCTGTCCTGGGAGAGGAGGACACTTACTGTCTACCACCGTCTCTCCTAAGTCTCCTTCTGATACCGGAGCGGGGCAGGGAAGTGCTGGGAAGGGAAGGTCATGGCCCCGGGCTAAGGCTCCACCCCCGGGGCCTGTGCCCTCGGACCTAGGTGAGGACAAGCACTCCTGCCTTCCCGCCTAAATGTTGCATTTCCCAAGACCACCCTGGCCTGCCACGCCCACATCTGCCTATTAAACTCCCCCACCTTTCCCAAACCCTAGCAGGCAGACGCATCGGTGGAAGAAGACAGGAGCAGCTGGACGTTGAGAGGACCTCGAGGGGAGCACACCAGCAAACCATCCACCAGCGGAACGAAGCGGAGTGTGGCCGGGGCAGTCGGAGGCAAGCCTGGGCCGCAGACTCCAAGGGAAAACCATCTCCCTTCTGGCTCCCCTCTCTGCCAGAGCTGCTTCCACTCAAGAAAACCTTGGACTCATTCTCCAAGCCCACGTGTGATCCGATTCTTCCGGTACACCAAGGCAAGAGCCCGGGATACAGAAAGCCCTCTGTCCTTGCAACAAGGCAGAGGGTCTAACTGAGCTGGTTAACCCAAGCCGCCTACAGACGGCAAGACTAAAAGCACACAGTGGCACACGCCCGCTGGGGCTTCAGGAGCGGTAAACATCCATCCCTAGACGCCGCGCGGTTGGAGCCCCACAGCCTGCCCCTATGCTCCCCTAGAGGTTTGAGCTGCGGGCCGCTGGAGGAGCGAGCCACACCCCCGCCCCCCTCCCTGCAGGGGGACTAGGGAACTTTTCCCGTTTCGCTTCCACTGGGCTTGAGCTGGCACGGAAGCACCCTGTTCCCTTCTCACTGAGGGAGGAGAGGGGAAAAGCGGTAGAACGAACAGGCTAACAATGCTCCTCCGAAAATATATCCTCTTTCTGGATCCCTAGAGACAGGTGATCACGGCAGCCGCGGAGTGCACTCGGGTCTCCTTTCAAGAAAGAGCTTGGTGCTCAGCGTTGAGGAATGCAGTTGGCCGACAGCCTCCCACTGCTCTGCCTTCCGCGTCTGCCAGGGCGTGTGAGCTGAGGTCACGCTCTTCCTGGGAGGTCCCCAGCAGAGGGATCACGTGGAAGCTCCACAAGCTCCACAGATGTTCCGGGAGAGAAATACGCAGCATCTGGATGACATATCCCGCCATAGCAGAGGGCATTTCCTAGCAGAGACGACAAACAGCAAGAGCCAAGTAAACAAACACACAAGCACAAAGCACTTTCTCCGATTTCCCCTCATTGATCCTGTCCGGGTAGAAGTTGGAGAGGAAGCAGAATAGGGTGAGGCGGGGTGGGGAGGGGGGAGGGGGGTAGACTTCTTCCTTCCCCTGCAGTCCTGCCCCTGGCCAGGCTTGAACTAGGGGAATGGGAAAAGCTGTGAAGTGAATGAGAATTAGGAGTTTTTATTTAGACTGGACTTGAATTCTTTATTTTTTAGTTTTTTTAGATGAAGTCTTGCTCTGTCACCCAGGCTGGAGTCCAGTAGCACTATCTCAGCTCACTGCAGTCTCTACCCCCCAGGTTCAAGCAATCCTCCTACCTCAGTCTCCCGAGTAGCCAGGATTACAGGTACCCGCCACCAAGCTTAGCTTTTTTTTTTTTTTTTTTTTTTTTTGATTTTTAGTAGAGACAGGATGTCACCATGTTGGCCAGGCTGGTCTCGAACTCCTGACCTCAAGTGATCTTCCTGCCTCAGCCTCCCAAAGTGCTAGGATTACAGATGTGAGCCACCACGCCTGGCCTGGAGTTGAATTTTTAATTCCTAAAAATGAACTATGAGTTAATATTTAAACATGACCAAAAAACTACAGGGTATGCTGATGTTTTGCCTCAGGGATAAGGAAAAGATATCTAGTTGAGTGCAGATGAAAACAGAGTAGGGAGAGAAAAACTCATTCCTGGCTCACCCTTTTGTGTCCCACTATCTCAATAATCTGGTGCTATGTGTCACACACACACACACGCACACACACGGAGGAATCCTGGAAGACTCCACATCAAGGTGGTGAGGAAGGTGATCAGTGGGTGACAGGATTACAGATGTGTGTTTATTTATTTATATTATTTTTTTTGAGAGACAGGGTATCTTTCTGCCATCCAGGCTGGAGTGCAGTGGTGTGATCATGGCTCACTGCAGTCTTGCACTCCAGGGCTCAGACGATCCTCCTGCCTCAGTCTCCTGAGTAGCTGGGACTACATGCATGTGCCAGTATGCCCGGCTAATTTATTTTATTTTATTTTTTATTTTTTGTTGAGGTGGAGTCTCACTTTATTGCCTAGGCTGGTCTTGAACTCCTGGTTTCAAGCAATCCTCCCACCTCAGCCTCTCAAAGTGCTGGGATTACAAATGTGAGCCACTGCATTTGACCCTATTTTATGTTTTTACAATTTCAATAGCTTTAGGGGTACAAGTGGTTTTGGTTACATAGATGAATTGTATAGTGATGAAGTCTGGGCTTTTAGTGTACACTGTACACAATGAGTAATTTTTTATTCCTCACCCCCACACCGTCCCCACTTCTGAGTCCCCTGATGTCCATTACACTACCCTGCCTTTGTGCACTTGTAGCTTATCTCCCACTTAGAAGCGAGAACATGTGATAGTGTTTTCCCTTCCTGAATTACTTCACTTAGGGCAACGGCCTCCAGTTCCATCTGAGTTGCTGCAAGGAACATGATTTCATTCTTTGGCTGAGTAGTATTCCATGACACCGTCACCCCCAACCGCCACACACAGACACACAGACACACATGCACACACACACACACACACACACACACACACACACCCCACACATTTTTATTATCCCCTCATCAGTTGATGGGCACTTAGGTTGGTTCCATACCTTTGCAATTGTGAATTGTGCTCCAATAAACATACATGTGCAAGTGTCTTTTCTTCTCTCCTTTATTCTTTTCTTCCCTATGCATCCACAGGTACTGAGGAAGAGTCTTTTTTTTATATAATTATTTCTTTTTCTTTGGGAAGACACCTAGTAGTTGGGTGGCTGGATCCAATGGTAGATCTAGTTTTAGTTCTTTGAGAAATCTCCGTATTATCTCCATATTGTTTTCCGTGGGGATTGTACTAATTTACATTCCCACCAACAATGCATGTGTTCCCTTTTCACTGCATCAGCACCAGTAATGGTTGTTTTTTGACTTTTTAATAAAGGCCATTCTGGCTGGGGTAAGGTGGTATCTCATAGTGGTTTTAACTTGTATTTCTCTGATGATTAGTAATGTTGAGTATTTAAAAAATGTTTGTTGGCCATTTGCATATCATCTTTCAAAAATATCTGTTTAAGTTGTTTGCCCATTTTTTTTTTTTTGAGACATAGTCCTGCTCTGTTGCCCAGGCTGGAGTGCAGTGGCGTGATATCTGCTCACTGCAACCTCCGCCTCCCAAATTCAAGCAATTCTCCTGCCTCAGCCTCCTGGGTAGCTGGGAGTACAGGCACATGCCACCACTCCTGCCTAATTTTTTTGTATTTTTAGTAGAGACGGGGCTTCACTGTGTAAGCCAGGATGGTCTCGATCTCCTGACCTTGTGATCCACCCACCTTGACCTCCCAAAGTGCTGGGATTACAGGCGTGAGCCAACGCCCCCAGCCTGTTTGCCTACTTTTTAATGAGATTGTTTTTTTTCTTGCTGACTTGTTTGAGTTTCCTGCAGTCCTTTATCATAGGCATAGTTTGAAAATACTTTCTCCCATTCTGTAGGCTGTCTCTTTACTGTTGATTATTTCCTTTGCTATACAGAAGCTTTTTAGATTAATTAGGTCCCATTTACTTATTTCTGTTATTTTGTTGCATTTATTTTTGGAGTGTTAGTCATAAATTCTTTACATAGGGCAATGTCCAGAATTTTTCCTAGGTTTTCTTTTAGAATTTTTATGGTTTTAATCAATCTTGAGTTAATTTTTAAATGTGGTGATAGAAATCCAATTTCATTCTTTTACACTACATGTGCTATCCAATTTTCCCAGCACTATTTATTGAACAGGGTGTCCTTTCCCCAGTGTATGTTTTGTTTTGTTGAAGTTCAGCTGGTTGCAGGTATCTGGTTTTATTTTTGGGTTCTCTATTCTATTCTGCTTTTATAACTGTTCCATGCTGTTTTGATTACAATAGTCTCATAGTATAATTTGAAGTTGGGTAGTGTGGTGCCTCCAGATTTCCTCTTTTTTGCTTGACTATTTGGACTCTTTTTTTGGTCTCATATGAATTTTAGGATTGGTTTTTCTAATTCAGTGAAAAATGACATTGGTATTTTGATAAGAGTTCCACTGAATCTGTAGATTGCTTTGGGTAGTATAGTCATTTTTACAATATTGATTCTTCTCATCCATGATCATGGTATGTTTTTCCATTTGCTTGTGTCATCTGTGATTTCTTTCATGAGTGTTTTGTAATTCGCTTTGTAGAGATTGCTTACCTCCTTGGTTAAGTATATTCCTATGTGTTTTATTTTTATTTTTTCAGCTATTGTAAATGGGATTGAGTTCTTGATTTGATTATCAGTTTGGCCATCACTGGTGTATACCAGTGCTAGTGATTTGTGTACATTGATTTTGTTACCTGATGCTACTAAATTCTCTTATCAAAACTAGGAGTTTTTTTGAGGATTCCTTAGAATTTTCTAGGTATAAGATCATATCACTGGTAGAGGTAGTTTGAGTTTCTCTTTTCCTGTTTGGATGCCCTTTATTTCTTTCTCTAGCCTGATTGCTCTGACTAGGACTTCCAGTGCCATGTTGAATAGAAATGGTGAAAAGTGGGCATCCTTATCTTGTTCCAATTCTTAGTGGGAAATGCTTTCAACTTTTCCTCATTCATTTTGATGTTGGCTGTGAGTTTGTCATAGACAACTCTTACTATTTTGAGATATATTCACTTGATGCCTAGTTTGTTGAGGGACTTTTATCATAAAGGATGCTGGATTTCATTGAATGCTTTTTCTGCATCTATTAAAATTATTACATTTTTCATTTTTCATTCTGTTTATGTAGTGAATCACATTTATTGACTTATGTTTATGTGTTGCTTACATCTACTTTATAATTTTACTATAATAAACATGTATAATTTTGTTATCAGCAAAGTAAACATAAAAGTGAGTTTTAATTTAAAACCTTGGGCCTAGGTCTTCCTGCCTCCCAAGCCCATTCTCTTCCTGATAGCTGGGGCTTCCCTCCTCAAGCTCACTCTGCAGGATAAGGGGATACAGTCCACACACCAGCTGCTGGTCTGGCCCACAAGACCCTCCATGGGCAATGTCTGAGCTTCTGTTATTGAGTTTTGCTCCACAGACTCTCGGCAAGGAAGGGATGGCCAACGTAGCTTGGACGTGGGTTGCTGATAATTGGTGATGTCTCATGACTGGTTCTGCCTGGAGGGTTTGCTGTAAGTCTCTGATAACATGGGCCTGCACAAGAACAGAACTTATCTGACACTGAAGAGGACACATCAAGAACAGATGATCAAAGTCTAGCTCAGGGAGAAATCTACTTTAGAGCAGAATGAGGAAGGATGATGCAGCTGATCTTAGACACAGCAGAAGGAAATTCACAGAAAAGGGAGACCGTGAAGGCACAGGAAGGAAAGGGGCTGTGAGGGAATTAGTGGGGCCAGTCAGGGGCAGTGGTCAGGATGCTAGAATGCCAGAGTGAGCAAGCACATCAGGATTAAACGCCATGAGGATCATTAAACTTCCTGTCATATGTCTCCAGGTGGTGCTCCAAATATCCTAAACCAGATGACAGCACCCCTCCACCCTATGTTGTATAGGCACATCTGCTCTCCCATAATCATTCCCACATAGCAATTTATCATTTTTATAGATTTTTCTTCATTTAATACACGTATAAGTGTGTCTTTTATTTTTAAAAATTTGCATTCCTTTAATTGCTTTGGAGGGTGTGCATTTTTCTCTCTGTTGATTTACACTGCCAATAAACATGTAATCCTACCATAAGCATGTTTTACTTCTGTAATCAACCAAAATAAAAAATTTAAAAAGGAATCCCTGACTATGAATTAGACATGTAGATAGGCACCAGGGTTGCAGACAAGGCCCACGTTCTTGCGCTAACTTGCACTGTGCAGTAACTTGCACTGTGGTTGGTGGCATTGGATGGGTACGTTAAAAAGATTAAAGCAATCTAAGGCAGCATTTATTAAATTTTGAGTAAGCGCTACAGAACCCAAGTGCTGAGGGAATTTCATGCAGGGAGAGATCAAGAGTAACACAGAGGAGAAGAATAGATCAATTTAGCACATTCATTTAAAAATTCACCCTTTGCATAGGGGGATGTGTCTTTCCTTGGGGGGAGTGGAGTTCTGATTGGCAGTTTGTTCTCAGGGAGCTTGAAGAAGAGATCTTGGAAGAGGAGGGGCAGAGAGAACAAATGAAGAAACTGTCAAAATGGAAGGGGTTGGGCTGGCTGAGCATACCTGAGTTAGCTTAGGTAGAGCCTACACTTTTACAAGTGGTTTCAACGGGCGTGTTTGGTCTGGGTTCTTTAGGAGGTGCTGTAGGAGAATGAAGGCAGGGAGGAAGCTTCCAGCACCAAAATCCAAAGGGAAATGTATTGTACATGCATAGTATTGCTTTACTGTCTTTCCATTTGGAGCATATCTTAAAAACCCCTTTCTCTGACAATGGTTCTAAAAGGGGGAAACGTCCTTTGCAACAGAATCGTTCATTCTCTCATTCATCAACCAACGATTGTGTACTAAGTGTCAGACCTGATCTCCATCCTGCCTGGAATGACACTTGCTTCTCATTTTTTCTTTTTTTTTTGAGATGTAGTTTCACTCTTATTGCCCAGTCTGGAGTGCAATGGCACGATCTCGGCTCACTGCAACCTCTGCCTCCCAGGTTCAAGCGATTCTCCCGCCTCAGACTCCCAAATAGCTGGAATTACAGGTACCTGCCACTACACCTGGCTAATTTTTTTTTTTTTTTTTTTCAGTAGAGACAGGGTTTCACCATGTTGGTCAGGCTGGTCTCGAACTCCCAACCTCAGGTGATCTGCCCGCTGAGGCTGATCCCAGCCTCCCAAATTGCTGGGATTACAGGGATGAGCCACCGCACCTGGCAACATTTGCTTCTCTCTTGAGACAAGCATGATGATAAATCGTGACCAAAAAAAAGGGCAGTTTTATAAACACCAGTCTGCCAGGCTTTCAGCAATTCTAAATTTCCTTTTGCAAGTCAGACTGGGGTTAATGGCTCCTTTGTGCAGCGGCGGAGACGACAGGGCTCTCCCACAGTGCTGAGCAGGCAGTTTGAAACCCCTACTTCCTGTCTCTGCATGGGCGAGTGTCCACTGGAAGCCACTGAGAGGAAGGAGGGAAACCTCAGAAGCTGGCCCCAAAGTCACAGCAGCACTGGCGATCCTGCCCAGCTGCTTCACCCTAGAAAGCCCAGGCAGAGGAGAGAAAGGTGAAGTGCTGAAAAAGAATAAATAGGAGGGGAACATGAAAAAGAACAAGAGCAAGAGGCAGGGAAGGGACGGGAGGGAGAGCACGGGAAGGAGCCAATGTCAAGGAGGAGAAAGGACCGCTGGTGGAACGGAGCTTCCAGGAATTGAGACGCAGTCCTGTCTTGTTGCAAGAGAAGGAAACCCTGAAGGAGAACAGGAAGGAAAAAGAAAACAGGTCTGTCCGAGCAGGCAGCGTCCACTTTCTCATTCTACAGATGAGGAAACGGAGGCACAGAGAGAAAGTGACTTGCCCAAGTGGGCAGATTCTTGAAAGGACCATCTGTACTCTCTCCCCTAACCTTTCTTACCTCCTCTTTCCTCATGAGTCAGTCCTGAAGTTCCACACAGATGGGCCTGGGCAAGCATCAAACACCGAGGGGGCCTGGGTGTGGTTTGCTTTTAAATATCAGGTCAGGGAAAGGGAGATCTTTTAAGTTGTCAGCTCTAAGATTGGTAATCTGCCTCAGAGCTATGCTGCAGTATCTGGGGTAGCAGTTGCATCTCTGGGCAAATACCCTGGAGAATGCAACACTGGTTGCCTGAGGTGGGGACAGAGTGACAGCATACTTGCATGCAGAGCCAGGGGCTCCTGCAGCTGTACAGGTAGGTGTTGAAATTCTCCACCAACCCGTCCTCTTTGCCCCAGCACCATGAAGATAGCCCTCATTGAAGATATGCAAGTCTATTCTCCAAACCTTCTAACATTCTCATGTGAGCCTTAATAGATTCAGCTCAATTACTGCCTCCTCCAGGAAGTCCTCCTTATCTGCCCACCATGCCTGCTCACCCATAGTTTTAACTCTGCATCTTTCTTTCTTTTTTTTGGCAAGGGGTGCTGGAGTATCACACTGTCGCCAGGCTGGAGTGCAATGGTGCCATCTTGGCTCACTGCAACCTCTGACTCCTGGTTCAAGCCATTCTCCTGCCTCAGCCTCCCGAGTAGCTGAGATTACAGGCATGCGCCACCATGCCAAGGTAATTTTTATATTTTTAGTAGAGATGGGGTTTCACCATGTTGGCCAGGATGGTCTTGATTTCCTGACCTGGTGATCCGCCTACCCTGGCCTCCCAAAGTGCTGGGATTACAGGTGTGAGCCAACGCGCCCGGCCACTCTGTTTCTTTCTAATATGCCTTAGTCCACTCTGTCAGGAGTTGGCTTCCTTCTCCTAGACTAGGAGTTGCCAGAGGCCAGGAGGACCAGTCTTGTTCATATCTGTACCCTGCACACCTGTCAATGCCTGTTCAATGCCTTGGAGTGTGGAACCAGCTGAAGGTAGAGAGAGGAAGGATTGGTGCCGGAAGTGGAAGGTTATTCTAAGAATGGGTGTGGCAGAAAACACAATTATAGCTCAGGGAGTGGAGTGTCCAGGAGTGGGAGGAGAGGAACTGGGAGAAAGAGCAGGGAGTGAGAGTCAGAGCAAGTATCAAGAAAGGGGACGACTTGGCGATCCACCAAAGTGCATGCTCCCTTTTCAGCCCTGCCAGGACGTGCGGGGCGGCTGCTGTGGACGCGTCCAGGCTCAGCCTCAAACACGCCTTGTTCCTCGACTTTCGTCTCTCACTTCAAAGCTAGGTCATTTAAAAAGTACTTTTGTTTTCTTTCCACTTATACTCTGATTTCTGAGAGGCCAAGACCCTGGCATACCACCCTACCAAGTTTAAAATAAATATTATCCATTGAAATTGTTATTTTTTCCTTAACAGTTATGTGTAGAATTAAAAAGTCTCATGATCGCTCTGGCTCTCACATCATTTTTGGCTCTTTTGAGATAAAATTTGCAATTTGATGCAAAAATAGCTGTGACGCATATGTGTCTGTATGTGTGGTAAGGAGGTTTTTTTTTTATCACCACATCTTCTTTTGCCCTGCCTTTCTGCCTTTCTGTCCTTTTCATTTGCGGGCTTATAGCGACCACAGCACAGATCTGATGCCTAGCAGTTTCTTTTGTAGGATCAAACCGCTGGCTTCTCTTGCACCTGTGACAGGACTCTGGGCTAGCTTATTGGGAAAGTGTTGCTGTAATCCCTGCCTAGATGTGCCTGTGACATGAGCTGCCATCTCCTCTTCCCTCGGCTTCGTCCCCACCTAGAAACCTGAACGGACATTTTCCTTAACATTTCATAAAGTGTCAGTGACTCCTCATTTAGCAAAACGTATCCTAGGGAAGTTTAAGAGTAAAAAAAGGCCATCACCTCTTCTTCTCAGGGACCTACAGAAAGTACATGGTGTCTCAGCAGCCTGACACCATCCAGATCGGTAATCTGGCCCAAGCAGCTCTGCCATCCCACCCAGGAATAGAAGAAAAACTCACTGCAACCCCCTATGATTCCATCTCCAACCTCACCAACCAGTACTCCCCACTTCCCGGGCCCCTATTTGCAAAATTATCTGTAAAAACTCGGATCCCTGAATGCTCGGGGGACTGATTTGAAAAATAATAAAACTCTGGTCTTCTGCACAGCTGACTGCATGAATTACTCCTTTTCCATTGCAATTCTCTTGATAATTGTCTTGATAATTCGGTTCTGTCTAGGCAGCGGCCAAGGTGAACCCATTGGGCGGTTACAAACTCATCCTCTGTGGAAGAGTAGGAGTTCATGGAGAAATTGGTTTCAAATTAGAAAATCTTATTGTATGGTCAACTCGTCCCAGTGTCTGTGCAGTGAAGGGCCTCTGCATGGTGGAGTGATTGCAGGTTGAGGCTCTAGAGTCAGCTTGCCTAGGTTTCCATCCCAGCTCAGTCACTGATTATCTGTGTGTTCTTGAGCAAGCTCCTTAATTGACTGAGGCCTTACCCTTCTGTTTATAAAATGAAGAGAATAATGACCTTCACAATAACCTCATCATAAGGTTTTTGTAAAGATGGATCAGATAATGCATATGTAGAGTGCTTGTAACAGTGCCTAGCACATAAAAATGCTCAAAAATATTAATTGTTATTAATAATAAACTGACATATATTTCTTGAGCTGGTAGTGGGTAAATGGGTGTTCTCTTTATTAAGCTTTAAACTGTGCATAGATCATATACATTCTTTTTATGCATATGATATATTGCACACGCATGAAATACATGCATTAAAAATAAATGAGCATTTATGAGATTTAGTTTAGCAGTCACATGTCCCAGGATTGCAAGCCAGCAATGAAGTAAAATATTCCAACCCATTATTGGATCCATGTACCAAACAATGGAAGTACCCACAGGTTCTGATTCTTGGTTAAAAAATATGATTATTATGGGAATAATGCTGGTTCCCAAGAATTAATATCTGAACATATTTCTTTTCTCTTCTGTCTTCTTGGAAGATCAGCAGGTTCTAGATTCAATGGAGTCACTAGGATTGAGCCATCAGTATTTGCCAGTCCTTTCCAGGATGGCCACCTGGTGGTGGGCACTAGGGCAGTCTCAGATGAGGACTGATTGACTTTTGAGTGAACTCACACTGCCAAAGTCCCTCCCTCACCTTGCAAACTTCAAAGCACAGCTTTCAAATCACCCCTTTCTTTCTTGGCTCTCAATTCTCTGCCTAGAAAGGAGGCATTGGCAAGGATATTTGTTTAGTTCTGAGCATCAGTCAATAGTACCCAGATCTTACTGAACAGAAAAGACACAGCTTTGTTTCTCTGATGCAGTTGGGAGTGCTTATTGCTTATTGCTCTCAGGGGCTTCTGCAGCAGCAGTAAGGCCCTTCCCCTGCCCTGCCACACAGAGGGAGCATCGTCAGAGTCGTGGTTGGAATCTGCCGTTAAGCTAGTCCTCGTTCTTGTGCTAGCTGTTGCATTGCAGTGATATGTGTACCTGTTTATCTTCTCCACTAGCCACTAAGAAGCCAAGTTTCTTTTTTTTTTTTTCGAGATGGAATTTCACTCTTGTTGCCCAGGCTGGAGTGCAGTGGTGCAATCTTGGCTCACCGCAACCTCCGCCTCCCAGGTTCAAGGGATTCTCCTGTCTCAGCCTCCCGAGTAGCTGGGATTATAGGCATGTGCCACCACGCTCGGCTGATTTTATATTTTTAGTAGAGACGGGGTTTCTCCACGTTGGTCAGGCTGGTCTTGAACTCCCGACCTCAGGTGATCTGCCCGCCTCAGCCTCCCATAGTGCTGGGATTACAGGTGTGAGCCACCATGCCTGGCTGAAGCCTGGCTTCTTTAAGGAAAAAAACCTGATCTTGTTTATCTTGGAGTTCCCACAGTGACATTGCTCCGTGTTTGCTGAGTGTATGAATGAATAAACGGGAACCATCACAAAAAAGCCGAAAGGAAAGTAGAAAGATTGGTTCATAAAATCTTCTAAGTAAACATTTTTTTCCTCTTACACTCCATTTCAAAATAGGTAAAATATTTTTAAAAATCCTATCAGGACACTCTAACGCACTGAATTGACAGAATAGAGATTTTTAAATGTGGTATCATTTGACCAGCCATTTGTGAGAATTTATAAATGTTTCAGTAGGCTGAAAACGCTATAAAAGCAAGGACTGTGTTCATACCCGACAGCTCGCACTTAGTATGAACGCTAAATGAAACATTCTCTTCTCTTTCAAGAGTCAGCCCAACCAGTGACCCTGACAAGAAGGAAGGCACATTTAACTCAATTTAATGAACTCTTATAGAGCATCTCCTTCTCCAAGTGCTTTGCCAAGGATGGGGTAAAAACGTGAATAAGTCTTGGGTTCTGTCCTTCAGGAATTTTCAATCTTTGGAGGCAGATAGATACATTTGCACCCAACTATTATCCAAGTAAAAGCGCTAAGTGAGCCAGGGGAGGAGGAGCTCATTAAAGCTTACAGGGCCTGGGAGGCCTTTGGCAGAGTGAACTCCCGGGGGACAGCAAGGCTTCTGGCTGCTGGAATTGGGAGGAGGATCACTTTAAGTGGCTACAACTCTGGTTGCGCAGGACGAGGGGGTGAGGGCCAAGATGGGAAATGGTGGCAGCCATCCTCCACACTGATGCCCACCCGCCCTTGCCTGGTATTCCCATTATTGTGTAGTGTCAACATTGTATCAGGGCTGGTCTGTGTGACCCATTGCATATGGTGGGAATGATGGTGTGTGACTTCTAAGACGAGTTCATAGAAGATGCGGTCGCTGCCCTTACTGTCTTTTTTTGGGGGGGGTGCAGGGAGAATGGAATTTTGCCTTTGTTGCCCAGGCTGGAGGGCAATGGTGCCAGCTCTGCTCACTACAACCTCCGCCTCCCAGGTTCAAGTGATTCTTCTGCCTCAGCCTCCCAAGTAGCTGTGATTACAGGCGTGCACCACCATGTCCAGCTAATTTTGTATTTTTAGTAGAGACAGGGTTTCTCACCACATTGGCCAGGCTGCTTTCGATTTCCTGACCTCAGATGATCCACCTGCCGCAGCCTCTCAAAGTGCTGGGATTGCAGGTATGAGCCGCCACGCCTGGCCCTTACTGTCTTTTGGATCAGCTGCTCTAGGGGAAGCCAGCTGCCTTGTCCTGAATACAGAGGCAGCCTAGGAAGAGACCCACATGGGAGAGGAACTCAGGTCTCCTGCAGCAGCCAGCACCAGTGTGCTGTCCCTGCGGACGAGCCATCTTGAGAGTGAATTTTCCAGCACTAAGTCAATCCTTCATGTGACTGCAGCCCCAGCCAACCTCTGGACTGAAACCCATGAGACACCCTGGGCCAAAAAAGCCCAGCTAAGACCTTCCTGCATTTCTGACCCACAGAAATTGAGAAAAGAAATGTTTTGTTGTTTTAAGCCACTAACTTCTGGGGTAATTTGTTTTTGAGATCAACGAGGCAGTCAACATGGGCAGCGAGTGTGAAGGAGCTGTGAAGGAAGATTCTCTGGTTTTGAGCTTAGGAACATGAGAGTGCCAAGATCTCATTTATCCAAAGAGGAAACACAGAAGTGAGCCCCTGTTTGGGGACAGGGCCGAGTCGGAGGAAAAGAATGGAGACGTCTGTCTCCCCAGGGAGAGAGCCCAGTGGGCGGCAGGGCACTCGGCTCATTCATAGACTGGGCTGATTGAGAAACCTTTCCCTGGAGGGCAGGGCTGCTCGGTTTCACAGCCCATCTCCCTCACTGCCAAGCGTTCCTCAAGTGACAGTCTCTGGCATCAATATTTTTAGCATGTGGCCTTTCAGAGACTGAAGAGTGGCATCCATCTCCTGAGACTCCTTCTCCAGCTGACAGCTGGTGACCCGTGGAGGAGGTAGTTTCAGGGGGCGTGATGGGCGAGAGTCTGTTCCAATGCCAATCCACTGGAGGAGGTGAACCTGAGTTTGATAGAAAGCAGCCTTCCTCCCTTGTATCCAGTGCGGAGACCTACCAACGTCAGTGCAGATCAGAAGCTAACGCCCAGTTCATAAATCCCAAGTGGAAGGAAGCTTCTCATGGAATTGCCTTATATGACAGAACATAAGGCTGAAGGTAATACCTGGCCAGGTCATGTTAGAAAAGCACCCGAACATAAGCATCACTTTTGTAGATCCTAGGATAGGCCTGAGCAAAAACTCTCTGGGATTCATAACATGCTTGGTTGCAGTCTGATAGAGGGACTGAGATCCACTCCAAATGGAGTCTGATTTGGGACAAAGCAAGAGGGCATGGAAGGAGACTTGAGAACGGGGACAGTCTCTCAAGTGGAGTCTGCAGTCCCTGGCCAGGCTGGGGCTGGAGGAGAGACATGACTGCAGTGGCAGAGTGGTGAGAATTTGCTGCAAGAATTTTTAAGTTGTGTGTTTTCATTTTTATGATAATGTAAACTGAGAGAAGCATATTTTCTGCTATCCCAATGAGCCCCCTTTCTAGGAGGACTATCTTGCCACCTTATCCATGAATGTGTTTATAAATTATTTTGATGTCAGCTGGTAGTTTTTAAAAAGTGGTTGTGGACTCACAAAAAAAAGCTAAGATGGGTTTAGTACATAACAAAGCATTTGTGTCAAGCAAAGGCCAAGTAACATCTTAGCGCCCTGTGTGAGAGGCGGTGTCGCGGCAGTTCAAACAAGAATGCTGCTGAAGCTGCCTGGCATGGCCAAGGCCACTTTGGTGTTTGAGGGGAATTAGAGTTTAGCCAAAAAAAAAA